CTACCTGCCTAGGAAAAACACTACTCTGTATTTTGCTCTCTCTTCATTCATGTGGACGATAGCTGATCTTATGTTTCACCATGGTTGTCCGCAGGTCCAATTTGGAAACGAGAACGCCAGCCACTGCCAGGAAGTGAGTAACAGTTTGTTTGTTATTTACTTGTTGTGTTTTGATGATGACATAGGTTGTTTCTGAGTATGTGTGACTCAGCCCATGTGGTGCACATGAGGGACACATGCAGCATGTGCATTTTTCAGTAAAACTAGACCATGGATTCTATTTCACATATCGCTGTACCTTTTACCTTGTAACATTACTCGAGTACTGCTGATGTACATGATGTATTCCTTGTGGTATTGTAAAATGGTTTGAAATTTCAACTGATTTCTCAGGCTTCCCTGTACTTCATCAATGTTGCTCCCAAATACATGAAAATGGCATGTTCCCTGCTACTGTATGTCATAAGAATAAATTTGTCAGGCAGAAATTCTGTTTTATATATGCATTATGCATTTCCCAAGCATAAAAAATACATGCTTATCAGGGGAACATGCTAAAGCTGAGATAACATAGATAACATAACAGAATTTAGGTCAGAAGTTGATGTTGGGGTGGTTTTTATTTGTCAGTCTTTCCATAAGACTAAGAGGTGCAGTAGATATCCCTGAGATGTTTGATGGCCTGTTCCTGAGATCAGGGTCATTGATCACCAGGAAACATGTGCAGGAAAGTACTCAGGAAGTAAGGAGATCTCTTGGATGATGCAACTAGGATGACATCATCCTAAGGTGGAGCCCACACCTCTGCAGTAGGGGCTAGTACCCGTCCTGGCAGGGTGACAAAAATGTTCATTACACCTAATACAACTCTTTAACACTGTCAATTCTAATAATGTCCTTGGGTGAGCAAAACCAAGGAGCTTGTAAAACTCCAGTGGAATATTTTCCTATTCTATGCTCAGTACTAGGAAATTATAACTGAAGTTTTTGAATGTCACACCTCCAAACAGCATGGAAGTGGAACAAATGTCTGGTATATATTTGATTTTTTGGAAAGGAAATACACGCCTGTGGTTCTTTGAAAAGTCAGATTTAGCATGTAGGTATCTATTATTGCATCAGATGAAAAGGAATACATTTCTTTGAAAAGTAATTACATCACTGCCAGCGTGGCAAGGAGAACAAGGACCTCTGGGTACTGTGCAGCATCCATGATGTCAGCTGCTACATTATTAGCCGACGAACTCAATACCTGGACCATTACAAAAATTGGGTTCACTTTATGCATTTGTATAATGAGATAAAAGATAACAAGGAGTAACTCCACTAAGTCATATTACGGGGAACATTGAAAAATAAGTGGCAATAACAATGATGTCATAGAGAATATGATATGGAAAAATAAATCTAGGAAGATTTTGTCATGGTCCACCTGTTACATACAGAATGGGGAATGCATTTAGAGAGTGACATCATTGCTAAAATGAAGGGAAGTGAAAGAAAAGCTGTGTTTAGAAGATGGCTGTCAAAGTTTCTGACAGACCTAAACTATGGAAGGTCATTGTAGATTTAATGACATAACTGTAATTTAAGGGAATTTTTAGCTTATTATTGTTGCCCCTCGGGCAGTGTTTGTCAACTATTGTCATGCAAACTACAGCTTTCATCTGTAATGTTGTTTTTAGCCACCGGTAGTTATTTTGCTCTCTCTGGAAATGTGATGAGAAAAAGTCATTTTCCAGGATTAGACTGGGGTCTCCCAGGGAGCCTGTGATAATGACAGTCTGCACTACCAGGAATCATGCAGGCTTATGGGATCAGACATGCATTTGAACATGAATTACTGCTAATTAACTGTCACTCCCTCTGGATATTGGGAAAATTACAGCACAATTATGTACACGACACATGTAGACATTGTTTTGATTTTAAAAAAAAATCCTGTAGGAAAATTCTATGTTACTCATGAGCTCTGAAGCATTTCTTCAAATTATGTTACTAAAAGGCTTTTGTGGCAAGACTTTTCACAATAGATTTGAAAATGCATTTTGTCCTTTCCCTACACAAAAATTACTTCATACTTTGTTAAAAAGTAGACCAAATCTTTAAAGGCCTAGGCATTCTATATGATAGCCCCAAATTCTAGGAGCCATGAAGTCAACATATCAGGGTAGTTCATAATTCAAACAATGAATTTGAAACTTTTAATCAAAGCACTGCATTGATAAATATGGAAACTGTAACATGTAGGAAGACAAGAAGTTTCTTAAACTGTTGGGACCAAAATGTGAGCAATTTAGAGTTGATTCAGAATCTGGATATTTTTTGCAAATCGAAAGAAAATTAAGTGGGCGAATCTAAAACCAATTGAGTGTGTCCTAATTTTTCGGTGCAGTTCGGCGATGGCATCCTGTATCGTGACCTTCATGAAGCAGGTGGGGGTGAAGATCCAGACGTCGGGTAGCCAGGTCAGCCCGCTGGATCGCTGCCCAAGCTTCACCGCAAAGGACAAGAGATTCAAGTTTAGGGAGAAGAACAAAAAGGTAAGAACAACACAAAGCACAATGACATGTAGTGTTTTAAAAGGCTGGATGTTTTTGACCTGCAATTAACAAAGGTTACTTTCAGCAAATTCCAATGGGCACATTCTAGTCGTTCTTGGGAAGAAGAAAAATATATAACAACTGTAACAATATCATTATTTGCAGTCTTTGTTGGTCAGATGTTAAAGGTACCTTCCCTTACATTTGTACAATTGTTTTCCAGAGCGTTGTCAGTGTGAAGGGCCACCACTTTGTGCCCATGCACTACACAGCACTGGCCTTCTGTAACCACTGTGGAGGGGTGCTATGGGGTATTGGCAACCAGGGATATCAGTGTCAAGGTAGGGTGTTATACTTTCTGTGCTTTGTCAGGTGGCTTGAAATTTTTTGTATTGAAGTATTGCTTGAACATCTCTTCCACCGGTCCTTGTAGTATGATACACATTTAGTTAAAGATTAAAGAGGCAGCATAAAAAAATCTAAGCCATGCTTGTCATTTCCAATCTACATCAATGTCAAGTCTAATTGACTCTGTAAAACCCCGAAATCCTATGACTTAGTAAGATTTTTTGGTTTGATCTCTGCAAAATAGCTGTGTCATCTCACCTACTAGTGGTTTCGTTTTCCTGTCATGATTTTCAAGTTGCCATTAAAATTAATGAGCTTGGTGGCTTAGCCTGAACCATGTGCAAGTCCATTGCGTTAACAGGCAACAAATTAAATCAAACATTTGTAGGTACAGGAAAGATACATGTATACTGTACATGTACTGTAGCTGTTTGGGAGCTTGTTGAATACTGAAATGTTAGTATATTGTTCAAAGATATGATATTCTGATAGAATTACTGGGTCCTTTTTTCTCTTTAGCTTCTTACTGTATGTTTCCCATCCTATGTTGCCTACAGATTGTGAGTATAACATCCATAAGGGGTCCTGTATCGATGCATGTGAGGACCACTGTGTTGGTGGTAACCTCAAGGGTGCCCAGTCAACAAGGAAGAAGGAGAAGAACAAAGAGAAGAGGGAGACTCGTTACTTGCCCAAAGTCTTCTCCCGGCCGTCGGAGAAGGACAGGAAGTCTGCAAGTGAGTGTCAGAAATGTTTTTCTGTTGATTTTCAGTTTAAGAAATGTTGTGAAATATGAGTAAAGATATTCCGAACTGGAAGTTATTTCGGTAATACATGTAGATACCATATTATTGGTATTTTCACATTTTGAGGAAAACGTTTTTCTTGAGTCCCAAAGTTTTTTTGAATGCCAGGGAAAGTAGTTTTTACTAGGCCTGAAATTATGTAATATATTTTTCATATTCCACATACTTATTTCAGTATTTGTATTAGTTTAGGAAATGTTTGTAAAAAGATTCCATATCTTTAGAACAGCTTCTGTTTTCTGTCAGAATGTAAGACACATGTAATAGTTACATGTGTGAAGACAATTGGCAGCTTATACAAGGGTACTATAATCAAACAATACAAGGCTTATTTGTAAATTACTGAGATGAAACAACAAGCTTGTCCAAGGGACAGTACACTATGGGTCAGTGTGACCATCATGACCTGTAGGTCAGGTTACGGTATGACGCACAATTCAAAAGTCTTGTTTGGTGTCCAATAAATCTGCTGTGCAGTGTTTTTAAATCAGTATGTGTCACCCAGCTGCCAATTTGTCCGCGGAGCCGCCTTGATCACTGTGTACAATCTATACTCATTATGGCCTAGATTTTGCCGGAGACAAACCTCCCTGTTCTCTTCTTCCAGTCTTGCCACCAAGCCAAATCCCCAACTATCCAGTGCAGCCTATGATGAAGGAAGATGACGAAGAGATCAGTAAGAACCTGTCCATAATGTTAATTCGTTAGTAGGTAGTTAAAACATTAGCTTAATAGCAGTTGCTGAGTTTGGCCAGTCAGAACGTTTGCCCAGCAAATACTTTCCTCCTCATGGCCGGACCACATCCAAGGGTTTGGTGATGGTTGGGTTTGTTTAGTAACAAGATGCTCAATGTAGAGCGCCTTGTTGTATGAAGACAGACCCTTTGGCAGAGATACCCACAGTGGTTCAGAGGGGATTGGTTCAAAGGGAAGCAGGCCCTAGGGAGGAAGGGCTGACGTAGTTGTGTTCTGAGAGGAAGCCTGGGAGGAAGCTGACTAGCCTGAGATAGGAGCCAAGTTCTCCCAAGTTGCCTGTTAGAAACAGGCTGTCCACTGAAGTCCTTAGCTCCTCCTAGTTTCTCCTGGCAGCTTGGTGTGAAAAGCAGCCCATGACCCGTTATGGTCAGGATAAATGTTAGCACAGCTTGTTACAATACTGGTTCTGGGGACCCTGCTGCAAGCCATCCTGAGCCTAGGGCTTCAGGGGGCACTCGCGCTAGTCCTGATGCTGGTACGGGTCACAGAAATGAGGGTGCTGAAATGTAAGCATGACACCGTGTTCTCTGCTCCTGAATGTATGTTTCATGTTGTATGTGTTAGTTGTATTAGATTGGCAGAATAATCCATGTGGTAAACTGTTGAGTAATGTGAAATATTTGGGTTTTAGTGGTTTACTTTCTGCTTCAATATTCAGCAGGAAGGATGAAACAACATTGTGTGTAATTTGTTGACTTGACAAGTCCTGTTCAGTTATTCTTGACTTAAAGGTTTGATGATCCATCTCAGATGCCCTGACTCATGTTGAGCTGAACCCATGGCTGAATGTTGGTTTGACTTTATGAGGTTTAACTTGTAGGAGGATGTTGACTTTTCCCACTGCCACCAGATGTCCTCTGTTTTTCTGCCCCCCTCCCCCTTCAGCTGAGGCTTACAACATAACATCCTGTCTCTCACATATGTAGATCTATATCTTAAATTTGTTATGTTGATATGCTCAGCTGCCATGTAAACTGATTCAGATTATGGTAATAAATTTTGTGATAATTTTGATGGTGAATGATGTTTTGTTACAAAACTGTTGCATGCATGTAGGTAACATTGTTATATACATGTAAGCCCTGATGGAACAAAGCATTAATTTTTCCCTATCACTCCTACATCCAGCTAAGCTAAAGGAGGAACGTATAGTGAGCTCACTCACCCCAGGGTATGAGAGAGACATTCAGCAGGCAGGTGGGGACCCTTCCTCCCCTGCCACCTCCCCCCACCCCAACTCCAGGGGGAACTCTCCCCGCAGCCAGAGTCCTGACATCACCCAGGAGCAGCCCCCTCCAGACCAACCAAGGTAAGGGGATTACTGGGTCACTCATCTCCATGTATGAAAATATTTGGTTTGTGTCTAATTAGTATTACAAAAAAGGTCACAAACTTTGCAAACCAAAGAAATAATGTTACACTTTCCAGGTACCTAAGGGCTGTTTTGTAAACTCAATGTGATTAGAATACAAAGATAGTTGACAGATCTACCCACCCCACCTCGTCTACTCTAAAAGCATGACTGTTTTAGAATATTATTATTTTTTTCGTAGCATCCCATGTCTTGTCTGCCTTCAATTTCTTTTTGTTTTATCCTTGTCCATTATCCTTTTTCCATTTACCAATGTTTCCTGAAGTTGCACAAGACTTCTCTGCCTCCCAGATGGATTGTAGAAGTGTCCGGTGTCAAATTGTCATGAGCATGCTGTCCAGTTTGTAAACAGAAAATGGAAAAATCATCAGAACGTGTCAACTCATTTGTTGCATATCTTTGGTGATATGAGGAAATCAGGAGGCAGGAAGATGTGTGTTCTATGCCAGAAACATTGATAATGGTATTGGTTATACCACTTTGTTCCCCACCATCAGACGCCGGGGCAGTCTGCCCCTCCTCTTCACTTCAGAACTCGTAGCCAAGCTAAGCAAGAGGTACCTCTTCTTCTTTTCATGTCTGCACCCCTGCAAACTAACCCTGCATGGGCTGGGCCCTTCCAAAGTGGCCTGAGCTTGATAAGGGTGTACTCTAACCAATCCTGGGCCCTTACAAAGTGGCCTAAACTTCACATGCTGAATTGAAATAGTTTTGAGTTCTTTAGAGAGAGTTTCTTTAGTTGTTTCCATTTGACTCTACCCTCCTGGGCCCCCTAATTGGGCCTGATGTATTAGGAGATGACCTCTCATTAAGTTAGGCTTTGAAGAGTGGCCCAAGGTTTGCAGTGTTGACTTGCTTCACCACAGGAGTTATTCACCAGAGGACTGGACTGGTAATTACTGAGCTGCAATATCAGCAGCTGCTTGCAGACAGGTGCTAAGCCTGTGAACTCTGACCTGATGTTGCAATTTAGAAGAGTAAGCATGTAGAGTGTACACTAGCTTCAATTATGACATAACAAGCTATTCCAAGAGCAGGCAGTACGCATCTACAAACCATACTCTATTCACACGATATATGAAAGCTCTGAAAATATTTGGCTCTGTGAAATATGTACATGTGTAATTTTGCAGCTTTGAAACCCCTGGTTTTTAAACATGGCAAAATAATGATTCCAATATGTGTACATATAAACCTCCATAGGTATTACTTCTTATGTTGTACTTGATACATGCATATACATACAAGTATGTGAAATCAGAGCCAGATTTAGGTAACAACAAAAAAGTCAGAGAGTAGGGTGTTCTGTTAGGTGAGAAACTTGTGAAAGACAGTAAGCATGGCTTTGACACAAACCAAATTTAGACCGCATTAAAATTCATAATTATCAACTTCTGACGTTTTAAGCACATTCTAAAAACAGCATTTACCAATCAAGCATCTCCTTGAAGAGGTAGCCCTAATTTGTGTTGTTGATGAGGTGAGGCACCAGGGAGATGGTGAAGACAAACATAGGAACAGACCAGAAGAGAACAGTACATTCATTGTTTAGACTGCCTGTTGTGTGTGTGTCCCCAGTACAGCCAGTGCTAATATTTCTATACTGCTCCTTGCCATTTTGTGCTTCCTTCCTAAGCTGCCAGTACCTCCTGTGTGTACCACTAAGTCCTGTTCTATCTACCTTTCCTGGGATTAATCAAGCTACCAACATCCTGGTAAAGATAACAGAGTAGGCTAATGGCAGACTGAGGTTGTTTGTTGTTCTGACACCTGAGTGCACATGTACAAATATAAGTAGATATTCCTCTCCAGGCCATGTAGAATTAGTGGTGTGTGGCCAGCGTGACACCTGCATGCTGACTTTGTGTTCCTTTGACTGTTTGAACCACATAGCTAGCCTTGTAGCTGTGTTGTGTTTGAAAAAAAAAAAACAGGTTGCAGAAAATGACTTCCATTACTCAGGTCTAGAACATTAAGCACTGAGTTAGTGGAAAGCTACAAGCTGTACTACAAATGTTAGTATAATGAATTACAAGATTGTGTATTAAGCATAATCTCTCAACTTAAAGGATAATGACACCCGATGTCTTTTTCCAGCAACAGAAAAACTTCCACAATAGAAAGATCTGAGAGCTTGAAAGGAAGAATAAATGTAAGTAGCATTTTTTGCATCATAATTTGTTGACATACTATGATATGATATGATAAAGTTGTATACAAGGAAGAAGAAACTTTGTTTTTCTATGTACATGTAGTAGGGAAAGAATGGCTTGATGTGTTTGTGAAGACCTCGTATCATCAATAGCAAAAAGAAAAGTTTTGTTTATTGTTGCAGAACTCTTACTTCCTTATGTATGGTTTGTGTATTATGATATGCATGAAGTATGATCGAATGATACACACGTGTGTACAGCTTTGCTGACTATCTCTTTACCCCGCCCAGGGCCGGGACTCCATCACCAATGGTTCTGGCAAGCGGTCCAAGAGTGATGTGGATGTGGACGCTGTCAAGGTTGCCACGGAAACCACCACGTCAGGATCCACGTCAACGTCCAGTCTGTCCAGCAGGTGAGCATGATGGGATAGTCTGTGTGGGAGACTGACATGGAGCCGCTAGCCACTGTTCATCCAGAATCAGTTCAAAAATGGTAGACTTGTCAACAAGACAGCCAATATGATAGCTTCTGTTTATACATGTATGGCTGACTGCTATGTTATATGAACATACATCATTACTTGATGTGCATGTTCTTAAATGAACATGTATGCTTTCTATGAATTTGTAATTATATCATTCTTTTTAAATATTGCATGTTTCAGTAGGTGTACAGATTGAAGGATACATTCACCTTGATGGTTGTTGTTCCTCCACAGTAACTCCTCTGAGGCTGTACACAGACCCCCATCTCCCACAGAGATGAGCAGGGACTCAGACTTTGAAGTGGACCTGGAGCAGGGTGCCAACTGGCAGGAGACTGTAGATAGGAGCACCTTAAAAAGTCTCAGCAAAAAGGAGATCAAGAGACAAGAAGTCATTAATGGTAAGTTGACTTTTTTCCTGAATGTCCTGAAAGACGGAGACTAACTAATGCTGGTAACAAGGTCTTTAGCATATACATATCATAGTAAGCAGTAAAATTTCTCAAGTGACAAAGTGACTCATGTCCATTTTCTTTTGCAGAGCTGTTTCACACAGAGAAAGCACATGTTAGGAACCTCAAGGTTTTAGATTTGGTAAGTTTTGTTCCTTGATCATTTGACAACATTGAAATTGTTACAAGGTGCAAGAAACCCTACATGTAGTAGCAACTGAGAATTTGCACACAAACAATTTAGATTTTTAAGGCTACCTTGTGTGGCATAGCTTTTATTTTATCAGTGCATCCTTCCAGTACTTCTTACAAACTACATAAGCGGCTGTATTATTTACTAGTTTATAGGTAGACACTGGAATGTTATGCTAGTTTGAGGCTTTAGGAAGGATAAATGCTATAATGTAGTTGCACATAATTTAATGCTGTACTGATTGGCATTAGCTGTGCTTGTCGTACTGAATGATTTGTTCCCCGATGTTTGCAGATATTCCACAGGCGGATGCTGCAGGACAATATCCTGCCTTATGATGTAGTTAAGCAGGTCTTTCCCAACATGCAGGAAGTCATTGATATGCATAGTAAGTTTTCAATATTCATTGCTTTGTCTTAGCTCTTTGATATTCTTCTGGTAACAAGGTGGAAATAGTGGCAAATAAAAAGTGATAGAACTGACGTTTCAGGACAGATCAGATGCTATAGTTGTCACTCAGCTACATACATTGTAGTGTACATGTAGATCCTGATTTTCAAGTTGAATGTACATGTATCTCTTAAAAGTTTTTCCAGGCAAGTCAAAGCAACAATCCAATTAGAATTAGGTAACAGATGCTTACTCCAGAGTCTCAGACTTTGGATTTGGTCTTAAAAACGGCACTGTCTACAGATGTATGTTTGTGATACCTACACGAAAACATTGCTAGGTTTTGAGACCACTAAGTTAGGAAATTTGCCAACATCACCAATGATTGGCGGCACTATCTTACTGTAGTGCAACATTCTGGATTGTACAATCAACCACCGGTACTGTTTGATGTCGGCACCCCCCAGCAGTAGTTGTGGTGACATGTCTGGCTGGTATCTGTAGGTCACAGCCTTTCCCTCTCCTGTACACACAGTCTGCTGGCATGGTTTTATAGGTTGAAGGACAAGTACAAGGACAAGACAATTAAATGATGAAGACTGCTGACTGAGTTGGGAAGGGATGGCCCATGTTAAATTTTTTGGATATCGTGTTATGCTGTTGTCAAGGGTGCTTTAAATTATCAGAAATTAAATGTTTCCCTCCACATATTTCAGGTACACTAAACCAGGCCATGAAGGCAAAGAAGAAAGCAGATGGACACATAGTAGGACAGATAGGAGACCTCCTGCTGGACAGAGTAAGTGCTACCCAGAGGATTCTGTATCTCCATGTGATAGTCCCATAATGTATGATATGACAGTAAGTTAGGGTTTAATTTTTGTGCTGCAACTATAAGCATAACTTTCAAAACTTGGCAAATGGAACTTCAATTCTGTAGAAATGTTACAACTGAAAAGACTAATGTGAGCATGCATGGTAACATGTCGGTTGTTTTGTTGTCCAGTTTGATGGTGAGAGCGGTGAACAGTTCAGACACGCTGCTGCCGTGTTCTGTGCCAACCAGAAAGCAGCGGTAGAGATGATCCGTGTCCGACAGAAAAAAGACTCCAAACTACAGCAGTTCATGGCTGTAAGTCACCGTCATTATGTTTCATGTAAATTGCTGTATAGCTTAAATGTGTCAACTTTTCACAACATTTTGTTTATGAAACAAATTTGCATACTGAATTGGCTAAATAAAACAAGCAATGGTACAGGTTTGTTTGCTTACATGTTTTATCACAACTTTTTCAGGAGGCAGAAAGTAACCCATTGTGTAGAAGGCTGTCATTAAAGGACCACCTTCCCCAAGTCATGCAGCGTCTCACCAAGTACCCAATTTTCCTGGAGAAGCTAGCCAACTATACGATAGGTCAGTTGTTTTCTCTTGAGTAAAGCCAATCCTATCCTTTGGCATATGAACTGCATTTGTATTAAACATACAAACTTAATTTGGTAAATTTCATTTTCTCCTATCCTTGATTAGCATCTAAAACTTGCCTAGTACATAGCCAGCCTTGTGTAGGAATGTCCCATGTTGAGAGCAAAGCAGACAAGATTTTTGTTTGTCAGGGTGTCCCTGTTCAAGTGTCTGATAGTCACAGATGTAAATTGAAATGCAGGAATATGGGAAAGAAGGAATTATATGTTTAGCTGTATGTTATCTTACTAGTTTGCCATATTGTACACCTATTCTATTATTGACTCTGTCTCCAATTTCCTACAGGAAATCCAACTGAACAGAAGAAAATATACCAAGCGCTAGAATGTTGCAAAAGAAGTCTGGAGTATGTGAACCAGTCTGTGAGAGATTGTGAGAACCACCAGGTAGGCAGCAATCTTCATTCTTTTTCTCTCTTTTTTCAATTTATCTAGTCTTTGGATCTTCTTGTTAAGAGCATGGCCTGACCTTTAAATTTACTTTGTTGTTGTCATTCCCTTTGCAGAAACTTGAAGAGTTTTCCAAGAAGTTAGACAAGTCTTCTCTCGAGAAATCCTCACATCCCTTACTTGCTGAATTCAAGGTAAATAAAACAACCATTAAGGAATAGCAAGTTTATCTCAGAGCATGATTTGTCACCATAAAAAAATTTCAACATAAATAAAAATATCACCCCCAAAATAGTTTACAAACAATGTAATGAATCTCAGACTGTTGTTCTGCAACCTTAATGTATAACAGCTGCCCAGAGACTGGTTCCTATGTGTGCCTAGAATCTGCTGAATACAGAAGAGCTGGTGCTCCTTACTAAGTGTTGTCTTAAGGGATGGGCCTTCCCAAGACATCTTGGGTCCTCTCCAAGATAATCCTCCCAGACTTACTTAGTTCCCCTCCCTGTACAGATAAATTTCACTATGTGACACTACAATTATTACAGGTTTTTATTCTGTTGACCCATGCTGCTCTCAGCAAAGATGGAATAATGTGCTCTCATTCCTGAATCTCCTGTTATTTTCCATTCCACAGGACCTAGACTTACCATCCAAAACCCTTCTCCATGATGGAGGTCTAACCTGGAGACTAGGCAGAACCAGACTCATAGGTGGGTTTATACAATATAATGTTTATCATCTGAACTGGATCATGTTATAACTGATATTCCTGAAATCTCTCTGAAGATACCTAGCAAAATTCTTGACTTCCTTGATTTGAGTTTGATGACTTTTTAAGTTAGGGTGAAGTTGTAAAAATGACCATATGGATGCCTTAGTCATTTGTATGAAGATGGAACTGTCTGTCCACAGATCTCCACATGCTGCTACTGGAGGACTGTCTGGTGCTGATGCAGAAGGAGGATGACAACCGGTACGTGCTGAAGTGTCAGAGCACCATGTTAGTCAGCGGCAAGGAGGACACCAAAACTACCCACTCCCCCATCATCAAACTCAACAACCTGCTCACCAGAAACGTGGCTACAGGTGAGATCAGCTGATGTTTAATTTGGTCCATATGTAATATTGTATCTAATATGGTACTTAAGTTAAGTTGCAACTCAAATAATACAACATATCAGTATCAAACTCTTAAGCAACAGAAATTAGAAAGAGAACCAGTAATTGTTAGGAAAAGTATTTTCAGAAAAGGGTTTGTGTATTTCTTTCTTTTAATTAAAATTCTTCTTCCACCTACAGACAATAAGGCATTCTTCCTGGTCAGTACGTCCCAAATTGGACCCCAGATCTACGAGCTAGTGGCCTCAACAGCCATGGAGAGAAAAACGTGAGTGTTAAGGTCCCTGTGACTGCTCAGGGTCTCGTTAGCAGAATTGTTTGTAACCCTGCTGTTCTTTGGTAGTTACAGTGTTATGAGTGTATGTATCGGGGCAAAATGTGCTGGAAGTTTAGAAGCTGGTATTGCTTTGGTTTGTGTTGAAATGGTGGAAAGTAAAAGTAGAGAGTAGTGACTCTCCAGAAATAATGGCATATGAAGAATTGAATGAACTGAAAGGGAAGGACAGGTGTAATGTGTCCTTCAGGCAAAAAACTTACTTGTGCGTGGTTACATACTTAGTACCTGATTACAAAATGTGCAATGGGCAGAATTGTTTATTTGCATTGAAGGCATTAGATGCAGTTTTTAATTGAAAGATTGTCATATTACAAGTAAACAATTCTTGTTGACTACAGCCTTTTGACCCCACACAAATGAGGGTATTGTTCATGAAATAGTCCTTTATCTGTATCTCTCACATATCAACTTGTCTTTGAGAATACATTTTTGGTGGTACTGTACATCTCAGAACTATTGGCAGCTATGTATACAGAAGTGCATCAACACATTTTGGTTAAAAGGAATTCTTTACCTATTAGCTAATGAGGAAGAGGAAGCAGATAATAGTTCTGACCTTTTTTTGCAAAAGTGCATATCAATACCCTGAGGCTATAAGCAGTAAGTCCCGCCCCCTTGGGTAATGCGATCTGTTGACTGAAAGCTTTGGTCTGCTATGCAGGTATTGAGTTTACATTCCACAGGTAGTAGGTAATGTTGCCTCAGTCCTGTCCTCTTGCCATGCCATTGAACCACTAGACAGAAGCAGGCTTGTTGGCAGCAGAAACTGAGAAGTCTGAGGAAGTGAAGGAGCTATTGTTGGCAGAGTTCCTCTCTCAGCCTCCCAACACCGGTGATATTGGGCTGCAATTTGTACCTGGTTGTGAACAACTTTGGAAGTTGTGTGAGGAGGCAGGACCCTTTAATTTGGGTTGACCCAAATTTCATCTTAGGTTTCACAGTTCATAGACTGCCTGACAGGTCACTAGTGTTGATTCAGGAGTGTCATCCTTGCACACTTTGCTCTGCTGCCAAAACGTCTCAGACTGGGGGACAACACAGTGTGTCAGGGTGTGGGACCTACATGTATATAGGTGCAGTGGTCCTGACAGGAAGGCAGGTCCTTAGCGCCAGCCAGGCACAGTGTGTGTAGCTAACAGGGGAACTTCTGCCATCATGAATAGGTGGTTCAAGCACATCACAGATGCAGCCGAGGCGTACAAGGCCAAGGAGAAGGAGCGGGCACGGAGGGTGGGAATCTCCCTCCCTCCACCCCCCAGGATGTCCACAACTCACGAAGACCCCATCGCAGAAACAACAGCGTAAGTCAGCTTACATTCTTCATATGATAAATGCATTATCTGACAGGTAGTGAGTTGGAATTTTAATTATTCTTACTGCCGGTAATGTACTTAATTTCTGATTTGGAATCTTTAATTATTCTTAGATCATTCAATGAAATTACATCTACCTGTAAGTATTATCACATAGTAGTACAGTATAGTATTTGGGAAACCAGCTTGAACAAACATTCAGATTTCACACACAAAAACTTGCTGGCAAATAAGGGAGTTATTGTGTAGAAATCAATTAAGAAATCTACCCAAAGACTGATTCCATTGTATGCCTTAAATCCGCTGACTACAGAAGAGCTGACTCTCATTATCAGGTGTTGTCTTAAGGAAGGGCCTTCTAAAGACATCTTGGATCTTCTCCAAGAAAATCCTCCCCAGTTTAGAGATTGGCTCTACTCCCCATGCAGTCATGTGGGAAAAGGTCAAACTATGTGTTATTATAGCTGTGTGTTATCATAGCTATGTGTTATTATAGCTTGGTATCCAAGCAGAAAATTCTGAAAAATCAAGATTGTCGTATGTAAGAAAAAATACCTGATTTACATGTACCAGTACCTGTAAATTCCTGTGATTTTCAGTACCGATAGTTCAAAGACTGTAACCATGCCTACATGTATGTGTGTATGAATCCCTGCCTGTGCTTTACAGCGAGGAGATTCCCACTAACGAGAGGAACGGTAACCTGGAGACGGTGCACGTGGACGAGGACAGCGTGACGGAAACTCAGCAGGCGGAGGAGACGCAGGTGGACGGCGGGCAGGTGGTCCAGCCGTCGGAGGTGCTGGTCTCACAGCAGGTGGTGTACGAGGAGACGGAGGTGGTCCTCACACCCTTGGGTAAGGGTCAACTCTTGACAAGTCACTAAGCAGATGTAGATGTGAAGCAGGGATGCAACAGCAAAAGTTGGTGCTTATTTCTGCATACCCTTTTGAAGGATTGGGACTTGCGAGCAAGTAAGAGTAGGAGAGATTTACATGTCACATCATGTGTGGTATTGTTTAGGATAAAGGTGTCACGATGTGTGGCTTGAGGCCTTGGGTGGATTATAGGGCTTTTAGTGCTGTTAGGAGAAAGGTCAACAGTCAGCAGATATAAACATGCAGTCTGCCATTGTTTGGGACAAAGTCTGAGAAGGTGACACGAAAGCCAAGAGAAATGTTACAAGAAGACGTCATGTAGCAGCAGCTTTTGAAATTATTTAATCCAAGAGAATCAAAAGAATGTCTGTAGATAAACCACAGGATATGTGACAGGCAGCCGGTTTGTGTGATAGAAGGGGGATCTATTTCTCAGGTATGACACCAGTATTCTCTGTGTCTTGTTGACAGTCTCTCTACTGGTATCCGTCCTGCTTGTTGTGAAAGCCAAGCCACTTTGTAATTGGAGAAAGCTGTGTGCATTACAAAGGAATGTCAAGTCCCAACTTAGCATGTTACTGTGCCAGCTTATATACCATCTCAGAGTCAGTGGTATGCTCAGGTGCAGCATTTTCTCAGTCTAGTTCAGGTTTGCATCACCACCCTAGCCTGGGTGTAGGTTTGGCAAAATGTCTGTTCCACAGCCAGATTTGATGCAACATTTTCCCCTTCTAGAAAAACTGAGGAGGAAAGACGAGGTGATCAGAAAGAGTCTGGAGGAGAAACACAGACTGCTGGCTGAGATGGCAGGAGTACCGGAGGACCAGCTAACATCAGAGATCGATGGTAGAATGTCTCGTCAGGACAGCTCCAGTCAGGAGCCAGAACCAAGGGACCTGGTCATGGCCGCCATCTTACAAGGTACACATCCCAGAAGCTGGGCAGCTGACTGCAAAGACATGCCTGATGTGCTTATAAGACAATCAAGCTTCTTAGTAGTATTAAAGTGTAGTATGACTGTGTAAAGTTTTCCAGCAAATTATCATTACAATAATGTCTCACCAGTGTGTGCCTAGATCATGACTTATGTATGTATTTCAGCCAACACCTTGACAACGTTGGTGAACCAATGCCTGAAGGACCCAGAGAGAACACAGCAGTCTTCCCCAGTAGTGGAAGGGGAGGCTAAGCCCACCTCTCAGGAAGGTTGGTGAACTCCATACACTTCTGTTCACAGACTCTGATCCATTGACTATGCTGATACTGTACATGTATTGCGTGCAGTGTCATTGTTACAATCAAACATTGTTTTCCATGCCATGTTGCAGGGTCCCCGGCAGTAAGCCGACCCAGCAGTGGTGCCAGTGATCTGACTATATCCTTACCCTGTGACAAGTTGACAGCCGTCACCTCAAGACTAAGTGATCAACTAACCCAGCTACTGGTAGGTTACAAATCTGCCTTTCTCTACACAGTGGCAAGTGTGAGCAAGTGTGCTATTTCCTGGAGAAAAATGCACTCAAGGTTTAATAAATTTTCCTAAATGTTCCATTTTAAGATATTTAATTCAAACAGAGGTAGTTTTTCTGGCATGTTTTGATGTTGACCCACAAGATTGACAAGCCCTGTAGAAACAGAAGTTGAGTAGAAGGATGGCTGAATCACTGCTGGCTTACCTGATGTGTGGTGTTTGTTCTCCCCCAGGGCATGTTAACCAGTCGTGATGATGAGCGGGGGAGAGTGTACACAGAGCTGCAGGATGCCCAGGAGGAGCTGGCTCGCTACAGGGAGCAGATCTACGCCTCGCCCTCCCCCAGCGAGACCAGCACCGCCCCCAGGGAGAGCAGACCCAGCAGTATGGTGTCTGTCGCCTCCTCCACAACCGACCCTGGGGAGGAGTTCCTCCTCACTGTGGCTGATGAAGAAATTGGTGAGAAAAAAAAAACATTTGTACACACTCAGACTATTCGCATCTGTGATTTAATATCATGCTGCACAGTAGAATTAGAAATAACTAAAAATATACAGAGATGTCCAACAACACATAGGCCAAGTCTGTGGAATGTGGAAGGTAGTGAAAATACACCCTTTGATACATGTAGCTGCCTGTTCTATAAGGTTCAGATGTTGATACATGTATGTCCATTTATTATTTCATTAAAAATGTACCCGTTGTGTTCAGCTGCCCCTGCAGTGCCACCACCCCCAGCCTTTGCTGAGCCAATCGCAGAAGAGCAGGAGCCTGTGGAGACTCCGCCCCCCTCAGAGGACGACAACATGCTACTAGCAGTTACAGAGGAGGACTTCCCCCCTCCCCCAGACCCAGAACCACCCTACAGCCCAGGCTTCACTGAAGATGACAATCAACCTAGTGCTATTTTCTAACCTGTGCTGTGCTGCCTTGAAGAAAAGCTTCTAAATGCCCCTGTGTTGGAAAAGGTTGTGCCTTCAAAAAAAAACAATGATAAGATACAAAATATATTTAAGGACAGGCCATTGTGCCTTGAAGTAAGCTACAGTTTTACACTTACAAGATAAAGAAAATGTCTATTTTGAATATTTGAAGATCTCTAAAGTTTGATTCAAACCAACAATTAATTTTAAAATCCAAGCACAATCATTGTAAAACACAAATGGGGATACCAAGTTGCTTGATCTTTGGGAAGCTTGATGTTTGTTCGAAACTTGTACCATAGACTGTGAAATAATATGTATTTTTGAAAACTCTTTTGTACCCAAGGGTATCTATATGTGTATTGTATTCAATCAACTCCCTCTTTGGTAGCAACTACCACTGAACAAAGTGTACTTTTACTATTGTGGTCAAGTACAGTAAAAAAAATCTCTTTGTTATATAAGGTGTAAAAATACTATAGGATGCCCTTTTTGAATGGCACTTCCTTCACAAACTGTAATTATTTGATTATCTGTATCTTTATCATCAGTAGCGGTAGTTGTTTTCATGCGGCCTAGAGTCATATCATCAAAGAAGAAAATCTGACAAATTTTGTATACGCCAAGTGAAGAATAGCATTGCATATTTTCCATCTGTCAGAGTTACAAAGTAAAACAAGGGTGTCAGAGAGCCTTCAATCAGGTAGAATTAACTCAAGGCCTCATTTGGAGCCTTCTGAATCATACAATCAAGATGTTGTATATAATGTACCAACAGCATTTTAAAAGCCAGTAGCACAAGGTATTACATATAAGTAAAGGGCAGAAAACATGACAAACAAGCAGGTTTTGTAGTAATGCATAAGGGCCGCCAGAAGTGCATAATATAAAGTTGCAATTTCTAGTAAAGATGAGAAAACAACAGATGTACAAAGAGCAGTATTAGGTGTCATAAATGAATTTTGATATGTGCTTAAGATTTGAATTGGCTTGTGAAAGAGATTTATACATGTACAGTATTGGATAACTTGGATGGTGACCTGACCATAGTTCTGTGGTGGCTGGGTCCTACACTACCACAGACATGTCATGGCTGTACAACAGTTAAGGTTCTGTCACTCCTAACTACATGTTTAACTACTGTAAGCATTCTTTTTTTGAGATTTGGCCTGCATGGAGTTGGGAAATCATTATGATGCATGGACAGATTTAAAAGATCTGTTTTGGAAGGAGAAAATGGTAGGAACGATCCATAAGCACAAACAGTCATTGTAACATGTCAGTCACTGTTCACCTGTGTTAGGATAAGTTCTGATGAAGATTAATAATGATCAACCAAACCTTCAATTTCAGTGATGTTGCAATTCATACTCAGGATAGAGCCAAAACCTTAATTCTTCCAAATTAACATCCTTTAATGAGCTTTTGTCTCCAACGTGGCATCACAGAATGGTCTGTTATACTGCAGTGCAGAGATCCCCTATAGTGGTAGAAGGGTAACAAAAAGTGTGCACTCTGATTCCTACAGCTTCTGGGTTGTCTCACCACAGTAGTCATGTCGTCTTTTTGGTGTTGAGCTTCGTAAGTCAGTGGTTAATATCTGCAAGTAAACACACATTTGATGTAGGTTCTGGTTAGGGATCCCAGCACTTTGTAAAACCTATCACATAAGAGAGATTCAAAAAAAGATCACAAGGGAGGTTGTGGTCAGAACCTATCCTAAGTGTTCTTGGTGCATGCAATGAAAAATTTGATTTTAACTTAGTGTTGTGCTTGGAGAGGGATGGGTGCATGGCCCTTGGAGTCTGTGTCCATGCTTCCAGTCTGTGTCATTAAGGTGAAATATAACATGACTGCAGTTAACACTTCTTAGATTTCTACTGATGACATGATTGTCACAGGGGTAATGATGAAATGATCCATGTTTGCTGTAGGGCTGAGAATTGTACATCTATTAAAGTCAACACTACTGCTACAATCATGAGATGTTTTAAAAATTTTGGTCAGCCCTGAATGTAATATACTGTTATGTTACCATGTGTAGCCTCTATGTTTATATGTCTGGCTGAATATACATGATAAGGCACAGATGTGGTCTTTGTCATGATTTCTTTCTTTCTTTCACAAATTTGTAACTATGTAACCTTTAACTATGTTAAAAGGTCCCAACTGTATCATTTGTAAAGGTACATGTACACTTGACACACCTGTAAATAAACAATCTTATACTAGTTATAGGTATACATGTAACGCCCTGCTGGCATGGGTTTTTCACCTCAGCAACAGCAACACATAGCGGAATTTAGCAGCAATGATTTTAAAGGTTTGTACCATGGAAAGCAACATCTATTAGTCAAACATATTTCAGCAAATGCTGGTGAATTACATTTTAATTGATACTTTAAAACTTTCTTTTTATACTTTCTTATATAGTGGACCAACTCCCTTGGCCTGTTTGATATCTGTCTACTAGTATTTAGCCTCTTTCCAGCCGCTTCCCAAAGCCTGGTAACGTTAAAAGGCTACCCCTTATACAAAGTATCGTTACTGTTCAAAATCCCATTGCCATTGGCTACTGGACCTGATTTCCCTTCCAGTACTGTAGTCTACGGTAGTGTTAATGTTGCAACGGTCGATTACTAGTAACGTTACATTGGCTGAGATACCGCCGGTCTTCACTAGGGGGTGCTTCAGTACTGTTCCACGGGCGAAGTTGTCTACGGTTGTCAGATGACATTACAACACTCCTATACATCAGAGAAATATTAGACTTTCTTTACTGTGTTAGATTAGCAATGACACACAAGTATACTCGACGTTCTCTGTCCGTATGCGCACGTTTCAACAGGTACCTGGCCGCTACGTTCGAGGTGAACAAAAGGCGGGAAAGTGGTCAATATTTTTATGTGACGCAATCAAGTAGGCGTCTCCTTGTTTTTGCACTCTGATTGGCCAGTATCTAGCCGGGGGAAAATGGCGGCAACTGCCCCTGACGAGGCAGAGAGGAAAGCGGACGGACTTTACAATGGATCCCCGTCCGTCACAAGTCTCCAGAGGGAGATCAGCCTCGAGAGGAAGGCCAGCGAATACAAACAGATTTCGGAGGCGAAAGTTCTGGTGGTCTTTACCGGAGGAACAATCGGAATGAAGGCACGCGATGGAGGTAAAGACTCGACCTTGCCCTGTACCAGGTTGTTCGCAGTAACGTTATACCAAAATCAATATTTGAACTATTTGCCACGTCTTCGAGCATGAATGGTAAACATTAAGTGTCGTTATAACCTCGTGAAGAACGCTTAAATTGAGGGCAGGCAAACCATTATGTCGTGTACAATCGTTCTCCAGTGTTGAGTTGTCTGTAGGCTAGCCATATGGCTACAGACAACTCTGTGTGTCTTCTGTATAATTCACTTTAAATGCAGAGTGAACATGTCGGCGACACGTCTGCAGAATGTAGATGTGATCATAGGAATCATATAACTGATCGGAAGACTACTACTAGTACTAGTATTACATACTTGTATGTGGCAGCCTCTTCGCTACTGCATGACATAATGATAAAAACATTGGGCCGAGTCGGCACCAGAGTATCTGTATCTGTATCTGTATAGCCGGTATAACCGCCTTTCGGCGTAACACACCAGCAGAGTATGGTTTGGTTGAGTGTGGCTCAGTCATTTAGATGTGTAACGTTATACTATACACTTTACTGTACAGTATCATCATTGGTCTGTCCTTCATCCCCTCCACTGACGGCATGAAATATTGTCTAACTACGTATGCCATAAACACATCAGAGGGCACCGTGTTTAACAGAGTGAAAGTGTCATCCATCCTTAATTAGTTTACTGCTTGTCCATATACTGTATCAGTGTACGTCCCAGAGAAGAACTACCTGGAGAAAACCCTGATGGAGATGCCGATGCTGCATGAAAAGGCCTATGCTGAACAGCTGGAACAGGAGAACTTCCAGTTTGAAAACGCTCCGGACTTCTTTCAGGAAAAGGCTCCTTTGGTGTTACCGTAAGTACACATTACCAATACACGTTTGTCTGCAGCTGTGGAAATGAATCAGACGGCCTTGCAGGTATTGGGTATCCGGAGAAGGTGGGCTGGGGCCCCATACTGGGCTACCTTGCAGTGCTACCCTTTCTGGGCCCCAAAGGGTGTGCATGGGGGTTTGGTCTCTAACACTTACTTGTCTTTACAGCTGTGTGTGGGCTGTTTGTGGGTAGTGGAGGTGGGTGGTAATTACTGTTATTAGCAACTCAAACAAGACATAGTCAACTATGTATTTACTACTTGAACTATGTATAAATTAATTTATTGAAAAGTTTTTTGCAAATTCATGCCCGGAGGCTAATTGTAAATTACAAAACATAAAAGAACAACGAAATAGAGTATAAAATAACTATTATATAAAAGTCTACATGATAAAGGTATAGCTGTCTAGAACTATAACTATGTCTAAAACTATGTCTGAAGGGTTTGACTTCTCTTCTGTAAACCATGGAAGACGTAATGTCCCACCTAAAAGAAAATTCAACTTACACAATAGTATAGAGACTTAACATCCTGTACCCCGCCCCCCCCCTCCCTCCAAACAGGTTGTCCAAGTATGGCAAGCATGTCCTGTACTGGATCCTGGAGTACGACCCCATCCTGGACTCCTGCAACATGAACATGGACGACTGGGGGCAGATTGCTGCTGATATACACGTAAGAGCCAGGAAATGTGATAAAAAGTCAAACAATATTAGATAAATACATAGATAACTAGACCAGTGCAGTGTGCTGGCTTCAGATTTCCTGTTGCTGTTGTGTAGGTTGATAAAGCATCAGATTTTATTTGTCTATTTATTTTTACAGAAACATTACCAGTACTTTGATGGGTTTGTCATCCTGCATGGTACTGACACCATGGCCTACACTGCTTCTGCATTGTCCTTCATGTTTGAACATCTGGGAAAACCGGTCATCCTAACTGGTTCACAGGTAATGTTAGTTTGGGTGGACTTCTTCACTGGTTCTGTTAGGAATGAAAGTTGTTCTTTCCTTGTGGATTCTCCATCCCAGAAACCACAGATGTGACTGGTTTTGACTGTAATTTTCTTGCAGGTTCCTATCTATGAGATGAGAAATGATGGGCGTGACAACCTACTGGGAGCTCTGCTGATAGCTGGTCACTTTGTCATTCCCGAGGTACTGAAACGAACATATGGTTGACAGCTTTATCATATTTTGGATCATTTTATTAGTAATGTAGTGCTTGCACATGTTCCTGTGTGGTTCAATGTCAAGGCAGTATGCAAATAGCACCTTTCATCCTTTATAGTGACAGAGTAATGCTTCCTTGCAAGTAAACAGCCATAAACGCTCCCCTGTCACCCTGCCAGGTAACTCTTTACTTCAACAATAAGCTGTACCGTGGCAACAGAGTAACAAAGGTGGCCAACCAGAGCTTCCAGGCCTTCGACTCCCCCAACCTGCCTCCACTGGTCAGCATGGAGGTGGAAATACATGGTAATAAGGATTATAATATATGAAATGGTCATTTCGTTCAATGTGTGCTCTTAATTCATTTTGTTGTAAGATTTTCACAAACATTTTGCATTTCTAGAGGTAACTTTTGCAGTTCATTATTGCATTCCTGTAACTTAATTTGTTGTGACTTGATTTTGTTTCACACAATGTCACGTGCTGTACAAACAAGTTGGGGACATTTTGACTGGCTGGCCCAATGGTAACTATCCTACACAGATATCCTAGCTGGTGTGTAGCTGCTGCTGCTGTTGCATCCCCCTCTCTGGTCATCCTGGGTCAACCCTGTTGACTCTCTGTGTGTAAATGCATGAATGTTAGTCTGCTTCATCTGCTTGTCCATTTAAGCTTTGTGGTGCTCATTAAAAATTAACCGTTGATTGAAAGGTCAGTCTTTTATATCATCACTGGGTAGAAGGAGCACTCTCTTTTCCACCTCTATTGCTTTTTCTCACTGGCTGTCTGCATCGTAATGATGAAGATTTTTGTTCACTGATAATTTGCTGCAAGATGAAAATTGGAACATACCGGTACTTCAAAATGTTTCACATGATAGCCACAATCCTTCTTCAGTTGTTGCAAGTTATGAATGAACAAAGATCTAACCTTTATTAATGTGATGAAGTACGTTGTATGAGTATTACATTTGTATTTTGTCTCAACTATGTTATTGAAATGATAAGGATATTTTGTCCAAAATTAGAAAAAAAGAGGCAAGATTGCTTTGACAAAAATTATGCAGAAGATGTCAAGAATGAAACTACCAGTACCTTTTTATTATTCAAAAGATGTCTCAGATATCAATAGCAAAAGCAGACCATTTTAAGCAAATTCAAGTATTTCCAATATGGTCAAGTCTCATGATTTCAAATTGAATTCACTAGATCACTGAATTTCAATGACAGAAAAAGAGCCTAGCTACTAGTATTTCACAGGAGGTAGACAGATCTAGAATTACATGGTGTTACATGGAGAAGCAACAATGATGATTTTAATCCTTTTTTCAGGTAAAGGTGGGCATGCACAACCCTATCTTCGAAAAATTACTGGTTTGGTCTCAAAACAGAAGTACAGAAGATTTTCTGTATTTCTGCTCTGAGTTTTGGCTTGCTGTACAGTGTGGGAGTGCTGCTTTTTTAACATCTTTCCCTTGATTATAGGATATTTTGCTGGCAAAACTAGATACCAAGTTAGGAAAGACAAAGGTCTATGTAGATAAATAACCTTAACAACATCATCCTAATCCATCATGAAATATAGACTTACAGGTAGTTGAACTTTCCCCCCTTTCTTCTACAGTAGAAGGAACAGGTGTACCTTAATCTTTCATTAGGAGTATTGAATACTCAATTCAATTCTTTATTTTACTCATCTGAATTCTTGTGATCTAAAAATTTTGCAGAACTACACAGTAGTTCCAGCAGTATATTGGGCAGGATGGTCTTTGAAGTCTTTGGCCTATTTGCTAGTCTCTAACCAGGTTCAGACATAAATGATGCTTTCAACATGACACTAACTTCTGACATACATATAAGAACCTTTAAGCTATACCAAATGTAGACCCATTTAGCTTTAAAATATCGTGCTGTGTGGCACCCTTGATGTGAAGTACACAAACATTCCATACTCATGATCATCCAGGAGGGAGCACAGACATGAATCATGTAGGGCAGCACAGCACATTGCTGGTTCTGTTCTCTTTCATAGCACTGTTTGTGTCTGAGTGTGCACTTCTCTCCCTCTGATGTAGTACATGTGTGCTCGACCATTGCTCATCCTCTCCACTGTCTCCCACAGTTGAGTGGGACGCCGTGTTCCGCTGTAACACAATGGAGAAGTTCAGGGTACAGACGGACATGAATCCAAACATAGGCCTTCTACGACTGTTCCCCGGCATGAGCCTTCAAACAGTAAGTCAGTTTGCTCCTGTACAGTGGGCCATACATGCAGAAGGTTACAGCTGAAGATTTTGCACTTGAATTTTCTGTATATAACTGTGAATTATGCACCAGTGACTGTAATGTACCTTGTACCTGTAGGTAGAACATTTCCTGAGCCCTCCCATGGACGGAGTGGTGTTACAGACCTACGGGACAGGGAACGCTCCAGACAGCAGACATGACTTGTTGAACGCGTTCAAAGAGGCGTCCGACAGGGGCATACTCATTGTCAACTGCACACAGTGCCCTAAAGGGGGTGTAGATTGTTACTATGCTACTGGAAAGGTGAGATTAAGAAATAATTCCGCTTCAATTTTCTACTTCACCCTTTTTCAGATTCATTTGTATGTCTCATGTCTGTGTGTTTTAATGTCAAGGAAGACTAGCTGGTTACAAAATTACTGGTGTAATGTCAACTAATGGACATGATAAAGTATCCAAGTATTCATTGATTATGATAATGTGTTAATGACATTCACACGTTGCTGTAGGTACTGCTGGATGCAGGGGTGATCCCGGGAGCTGACATGACAGTTGAGGCAGCCTTGGCCAAACTCAGCTATGTCCTGGCCAAGAAAGATGTCACCCTTAAGGACAGGAGAGAGGTAACTCATCTACTTCTCTTGCTGTTATGGCAGACAAAATCTTGATCAAAAGTCAGTTACAAACTCATGATACAACATTCATAAGTAAGGTAAATAAACCATCTTGAAGTAGATAGTATGCTTCCAGTTTTTTTAGTGATAGCAGTACATGAATTTCCAATATCCTGCTATAACAGATTACACATTGTAAACCTTGCATCTGTTCATTCCCATGTGTGTTTGTTTACTCCCCAGCTCCTGTCGGAAAACCTCCGAGGTGAGCTGACCATGGTGGGATTGGGGCAGGAGTCAATCTCCCTCAGCAATAACAGGTTCCTACGTCACCTGGCCAGAGTGCTGCAGCTGGGCTCTGCAGAGGTAAACAGACTCTCTGTCTTTTTGTTTAACAGAAATGCACTGTGAAAACTGTGAAATGATGACTGACGGGAGCATACCTGTCCTACAATTGTCTTTGGTAGATGATACTCTGAAGAAGATGTTACCTTTTGTAATGTTACTTTTTGTAACTAAGTCCTTACAATTTGTCTTGGATTTTGAATACCAGTATGTTGCACCATGTATGTCTTATGAAGGTGACTAAACTGACTCCAATTGTATGTCTGCCCTCTGTAGGAGATGCATGCTGTGCGAGATGCGCTGTTCCCTGCATTAATGTGTGCAGCAGCAAAGAATGGTGACAACAGCACCCTTCAGGTCCTGATACAGCAGGTACAGATGACAGAAGCTCCAAGAATTCACAGAGAATCAACATTTTCTTTCCTTTGTGCTGTGTATCCATTTCCTCAATAATTTGCAAACAACAGTCTGGATCAGCTTTGAAAATATGATATAATGTTAATTTCACAAAGTCAATGAAGCACATTGTTTCCTCTCCCATATTTCAATTTCTTTCTCACTAAGATGATTGACTGTTTAGATGCGTTACTTACAGTATCTTTTATACCTCTTACTTACAATACCTTTTATTACCTTCTCATAAAACTCAACTTCTCATGTCTTCCCTCATGTCTGCCATTCATGTACTTTTGCAGGGAGGGAATGTTGACTCTAAAGACTATGATGGCAGGACACCCCTACACATTGCCTGTAGTCAGGGCCATGCGAACACTGTGGAGTACCTGCTGAAGAACGGTGCATCTGTGTACCTGCGAGATGCTGCAGGACACACGTGTCTCAGAGATGCTATCAAGTTCAGGTACAGCTCAGGAAGTCTCAGGGACTGTTTTCAAGGTGTTCTGTATTACATATTGTCCTTTCAATAAGCTTTGCTTGTAATGTTTCTGTACCTGTTGTCCGGTATTGGATGATGTTGTTCATGTACTGATGGCAGACTTGGTAATTTTAGTGTACAAAGTAAACATTGAGAGCCTCTAGCATGTAGGTACCCTTCTCCAAACCTTGTGAACAGTGATGTGTTGACCATCCATTGTTACATTGAACATTAGGAACTTGTCAGTGATCAAACTTCTCGTGCAGACTGGAGCAAACCTGTCAAACCACATCACACCCATCCGCATAGGCATTGAACTCTGCAGGTAAGGCCAGGCATGTTTTGCAGATGCTGTTCTAGTGTTTTTGACCTTTGATAATTATGATATTGATTTTGACAATTTGAAGAGCTTTGTTCAGATACACAAAGAATGATGGAACATTTGGCCAAAAACAAGCAGCCAGAACGATCCCTTAGTCCCCTGTGATGTGAACACTTAGAACTTAACATACATGTATCTGTCCTTGACTCTTGTTGACTAGTGCTGCTGCTCACAATGACATTGATGGTCTGCGGGCCTGGATTCTGGCTGGGGCAGACCCCAACCAGCCAGACTACAGCAGCAGGACAGCTTTACATGTGGTAAGTGATCTAGATACTGTAGCCTGGCTGTGGTAATGTTGTTAGATCTTCTGTGCTCCCTACATGTCTCAGGTACCAATCTGCCTTCTCCCCATGCTCACCATTTGTGCCTTCAGTATCTTGATTACCTTTACTGACTCAGAAGACAACCACTGTTTATCCATATCTTCCTCATGCTCAGGCTGTAGCTGAGGGACATGTGGAGGCTGTGAAGTATCTCATGGACCATGGAGCAATCCCTACAGTAAGTGTTCCTCACTTGTATTTACAAAAACTTACACCTTCCTTGAAAATTGCCAGTGTCTTGCCACTTTTCCATAAAGTTATGATGGCTCCATGAAGTGTGAAATTTTCCATATGCAGAGTAACACATGCGAGTGTTGTTGAATCCTTAGCTCCAGGATCCCCATGGTACAACAGCTGTGATTGAAGCCCGTATCAGAGACCACATGGAGCTGATCCCTCTGCTAGGGACAGAAGCCTTCTGTGCTGAACCAGCCCCTGCAAAGGAACAACCACCAGAGTCTCCTGGGAAAAGGAGATTCTCACTTGCAGGCAAGTTTTTTGGCAAAAAGAACACTGGGTCAGGTGACTAGCCATCCAAAGTCTTTGGATATTTCCCTTTGTGGTGAACAAAAGAGGAGCATGCAATGTAGGGGATAGTTGATGTTCATACGGGTATTGACAAACGACTTAAAGTAAGAAACTTTCATTGCTGAGCCATGTTGCTGATCCTGTTTTTTTGCTCAGTCTCTAGGCATTAGAACTTAGAAGTTTAATTGAGAGCTTGTTGGAATCAAATTGTATGACAGTTATGGTTACAGATAGTATAGCAACAGCAGTTAGAATATAACATTACATGGATAAGAATTACCTTCTAAGGTTCCCAAATGTTGATTGTTCATGGACATTTAGTTGTATTTTACAGTGTTTGGTGGTCTCACTTTATGAACCTTTGTGTGTGGAATGGTACTTCTCAAACCAGAAAATGTTCATCTTAATCAGTATTATTGACATGTATTTTACATTGTTAGTAGTCTCATCACATTATGAACCTTTTTTGTATTAAGAAGATTTTTATCTTGATCAGTATTGTTGCCATGTGCTAACAGGGAGCTGACAAATGAAAGTGGAAAAATGTAAACCACTATACCGTATTGTTATTTTTCATTGTACAGGGAAAATGTTGTATATTTTTTATGGGAAATTAACACTTTATATTACATAGGTTGAAATGTGAAAGAGTTGCTGCTGTTTTTGACTAACTTAGATGAGCTTATGTTCAGAATCTTACATGGAATTGTACTCTTAGATTCATATACCTAAAGTTGAAGAGGCTCAGCCATATGTAAAATACGGCTTCTATTTTCAAGCAATATTCCTTCCGTGAATAATTTCATCAGGTTGGTGAATGATTACAGCAAAGTTCTTTATTCATCACAACCACATGTTTCACAAGAGCCAGTGTTTCAATGACCCTCTGTCATCTTCATCAGGGCAGTGATTGCAATGTTGTTGACTTAGGATTGAGGGCTTTGGTCACAAGCTGCCATCATGACAAGCTGCTATAGTAGAAAAAAAACAAGAACAATACATGTAACCAGAATAATGGGAACAGTACAAAACATAATTAAACATTATACCATTGGAAATATCTTAGGTGTTATGAGAACTAGAGCTAAACTAAGGCTGGGATCAAACCTGAACCTTGTACATGTAGATTCAAAAGCTGCCAGTGTTGCTGTAGAGAAACAAGACCAAACTTTCACATTGAACAATTATGTGAAAAGACATGTCAGATAAATGAAGACAATGAATAAAGCCATCTATGCATCATCAACCTTTTTGATGAATGATACATATGTATTTATTTGCTAACTTAGGCCACACTGAAACATTGTGTGGATGCCATTTGTGCGTGCATCAATTTCTGTCCATTTCTGCAAGCTGCAAAATGAGTAAATATGGAAAACGGAGTCTTTTGTGGTAATGTTTTGTGTAGTGCCAATCCTTGGCATGGTCCAAAAAAGGCACTGCCATGAGGCTAAAAGTATCATTCCAGGAAAACATGCCTCAGCAGGGGCAAACATATATATATATAGTTTTGATCGCTAGGGGTCCCCACTGACGAGTGCAGATGATTCAGGTAAGTGTACTGGTGCTCGTTTCTATTGTTTCTTAGGCCACACCAATTTAATTTCTTGGTTAACGGATTCACCTCTTCATTTTTTTCTGATTTGCAAAAAAAAATCAACTGCAAAATGCTCATGTTTGCCTTGAACAGTTGAAAACAGTCCTTTTCTTCCTAGTTGTTACAGTTATTCCATCTTTTAATGCAGTGCTATCATTAAAAGTTCAAAATTCATTGTTTAAGTTTTGAACCAGGCTGGTCTGTTGAGTTCATGGCTCCCATCGTACCATTTTGGGCCATAATAGGATGCCTAGGCCTGTTTTTTTTTTTTTTCGCCCACCCGCTCCATTATTTTTCTAGAAAAATCCGTTAACCAAGAAATTAAATTGGTGTGGCCTTATTATGAAAGACCAAAAGGGGAAATATACAAGAATTTTGGTGCTATCAAACCCATATGAAAGCTACACCTTTGGACCAAGGACATCGCAGATTCAGTACCATGGACATAACCCTCCTGAAAACTGTGCTGTTGTACAATGTACATGTACAACAGATCCTGTTTCAAACCTCTACAGACAAGCTCACCATGACACACTCAGTTCTGTGGGTATATTGCTCATCACCAAACTTGACAGTTGTGCACAGATTCTGGTCACACAATCGAAACAACATCACCATTACTTTACAGGCACATGTTCTATCAATGACACATTATAGTGACTGTCAAATTCACATTGATAACAATACATTCAAGTAGCCTGACCAGGTAACTCAAACTACTGTTTGCTAGCTACTGCTACTGCTACAGCAGTCTTGAAGTACATTGTGTATCTAAAAGTACATGTACGGTTACAACAGGAAGGCATTTTCATCATTTGAACCTTTGCCCTTCTATAAAGTGAGAAGATAAGTATGATTCATTAAGAAAGTGACAAGATAGCTGATAACAATTTTTTATGACAAAATAACTAACATTACATGTATAAGTATTTCATTTACATTTAACATATAAGAGTGGAGAAGAATTTTCTTGTTCGCCCATGACTGGATGATAATCTCCAGGAACAATAATCTCTTGTAATGATATAGAAATGTAAAACTAGACATATCATGAATCATAATACATTTGGGAGATTAAAAATCATACGATGTCAGACTTAACGAACATTTATTATAAGAATTCAAATCTGTTGTTGCAATTCTTTGATATTACAAAACTAAATACATGTAAATCACCATCAAATGAACATGCCAAATCACAATTTCAACATGATTGTAATGCCACATTTGGAATGCTAGCTATGACTACTTACTCCCAAACAAGTACAGTTCCACATGTAATACAACTGATAAAGTTTACATATTAGTGAATGAGGGGTGACAATGTTTGAGAGAATGTACAAATGCTTTTAAGTTAACCAGCAGTTTCCTCACGTCAATATCTATTGTCAATTGCAACATTATCCATGGCCTATCCATGCATGTCTTTCACATACACACACATGTGAGAGCAATCAGAGTTTCAGTAGTAACGTTACATGGTGACAAATGTCCTCCATCCTGACATCAGACAGCCCATTAAAACTTGCTTCTCTCCAACATTGACATAAAGATCCTGATCATGCAGAAATAATGGGAATCACATCTGATGCAGCCCCAACAGCAGTAAAAATAATGAGATTACATCAATCAAGGCAATGAAAAACAATAGTCGATAATTTCGATGACATTGTGCATGAACCCAAGACTATCTTTTATCTGCTAATGATGTGATTTTGATTGGGATTCATACTTTTCTTGATTGACAACAAAGTCTTGGCCATTACAGTTTTTAAAACCAAAACATTAGATAATTTATCAGATGACATTCAAAAGGGTTGCAACAAGTATGGTCAGAATAGATTGACCTTATTCCTGTAAACTTCACACATAAGATATGGAATGTTGTCATTCTTTATTGAAGTCTATGACAGGAATGGACAATAGCACAAAACAAAGTGAATGTACGTTTTAAGCTATGTTCATTACATGAGGCGTATTTAGGCTAACTGGGGTGCTTGTTTGCATATTGCTATCATAGCTGCCAGACAGGTAATATTTCTCACAAATTAAATCACACATGGTGAGACAAATTCATTTCCAAACATGATGCATTTCCAATTGATGATATCTAGCACTCTCACATGCTATACTGAATAATAGATTGTCTACAATATTCTAACCTACATGTAACACAATACCATTATGACTTAAAATAAACGAAGGAGTTACCTCAAGATAAATACTTGGAATGTCACATTGGCACAGTTCATGAAGACAACAAACCATTATACTTAACACCTTGAACTTGAACATTTACCTTGAACTTTAATTTTGAACTTGCCTGGAACTGCTGTTTGCTGAATATGCAATTGTCACACCTAATGACAGAGCTACAATATTGGAGCACATACTTCCCTAAGTACCATCAATAGTCAAGGCAAGATGACTTACCAATTACATTGAAACATCTGTCACCACTTTATGAAACATGTACTCTACAGTGTATCATATCATATCAAGACAAATGATTGAGCACTTGTCTCATAGATGGCCTGACCTTGCTATATCATATGTATCTATAAAACAAACATACAAGTTGGAATGTGTTTCCTTGCACTGAAAATTGGCACAAAATCTATTACCTGATTTGAAAGAAGTATTTGAAAGACAGAACCAAATTAATAAAATGGTGAGGTCTTAGAAGTGTCCTTACTTAAACTGTTGGTTGTAGACCTTGATGAAGGTCCTCTCCTCTGTAAGTGTGCAGTTCAGCTCCATCTGTTTGAAGCTGTCTCCCCAGCTGCAGTGGTCCGAGTCACTGGCCTTGTAGAACTTACACTGGAGACACACCTTCAGCATGCCCAGCCCATCAAACTGTGCAACACAAAAAGGAGACCACTCAGCATGTAACATACTCTTATTTCCTCACAATCCGGGGGTAGTTGACAATGATGTTTGACATTTACGTTTGCATCCATTAGTTCATCCGTTAGTATTTAACTTTACTTATGGAATTTAGGCTTCTTCCCCCCCATCTTTTTGCTCTATAGACATCAATAATTGCACCCTCACTCCATGTCTCAAGAAATAGACTGCAGTCTTTTATAGCAACCTGTTTAATAGATTTTTGTAGCGTGGAACATTTTTCCAGCCTGTGTTTCAGAGATAAGGCCTGGAGGAAGTTCTTCTGACCCTGATATGATATCCTATTGCCAGCAGACTGTGGGGATATGGACACTTGGATAATGTGCTTGGAGGACTGCTTCAAGCAAAAGTGTTGCTTAGTCAGACATTACTCATTCTTCATGCATATGTAATTATTACCCAACCATTCCTCATGATTACTGTGATAACCGCAATAACTATGATGGAAAAGGACATAAAACTTTACACAAGGCAATGGGTGTCAGGTCCCTTTATATTTGGATGTTGCGGTCTCATTACCCTGAGTTGCAGTGCCACCTGGGACTATAAACTAACAAGGATGTAGAGTACAGTCACATGTACCTAACGTTACAAGTAGAACAGTTGAAAAGCATGGCTGCAACAGACACAGGTGTTCTGACCTTTAACCTCATTCAAACAATTTTTAGAGGTAAAAAACAGTCCTCTGTGACAGCTCTAGAACAATATTCACCCCATCATGATTAAACCATGTACAAATGCACCATTTCCCCTGCAAGTTTTTCCTACCTCCATGACAAAGGGCACATCTTGTCTGGACCCCTTCTTGCTGACACTTGTGCCTGCAGTGGACCAGACTGTGGTATATCTCACACTGTGGGGGTCTCGAGCCTGCTCCTTTAGCTGGAGGGGGGTGGTGCCTAGTGAGGTGGATCTGGGGGGAGAGGTGTACATTTTGTAACAATTAGCTGGAATAACACACCTTTGGAGGTACCTGTCCATCTGTAAGATTCTAAATCTTGAGACCCAGACATGAATTCAAATAACAAATCTGTACTTTATATTGACAGTCATATAACATCTCCCTAAGTAAAAGGCACTGTCCTGAGCTAACTTGCAAAATACTGTACTATACATAAAATTTTGACCAGGAGCCTGTCTAATATTATATTGATGCCATGATTATGACTATATTGGGCCATAATTGCTAGTTCTGTATCATGATTCATGAGCACCAACAAAATTCTGGCATGTTTTTCATCATATAGTTTTTCTGTTGTACTGACATATCAGTGTTCGAAATACCTGTCTGCAGTCTGCAATCTGCAGATAGATTTTCAAGATTGCAGAAGAAAAATTTATACAATCTGCAATTTTGCAGAAGGAAAAATAGGCTCCAGATTCAATAGTTTTCAATTTAGCAAACTAGAACTCTCTGGCCCCAAGGACAGACAAGTTACACTTAAGCTCCTGTTTTGAAGCAACAGGAGCTTTACTAATTTGCATCCGCCTTATCTTGACTTGTCTATCTTTTGTTTCCCTTTGGACTTCCAAAAATTTGTCTTCACTAATTTGCATATGAATCAATAGTTCATGCTTATAAACCTGCAATTCTCTTAGTGTCACTGACGAAAGGTAGTAGTCTGACTGTTTCAGGTAACCGTAGCACCAAAATCATATCGAGTTGCTTAAGAGTTAAGTACTGTTTTTTTTTGGTGTGTCTTTTATTAGTATGTTGTGTGGAAGGATGATATGTGGGTGTGATTACTAGTACATTTACAGGTATGGTGTGATTTTAGTAGTAGTAGCTTGAAGTGGGAGACAGCGGTGAAAGACCCGTGAAGATACGAGTAAACTAGAAAGGCCAATATTTGCTCTGGAGCAAATACAGCGATGGGTTCACCACATTTTACGACATGGCAGGGAAAGAATGAGAAACACAAGGGAAAACAATGATTTACATTGATATAACTATAATATGAAGTAACATACAACTAAAACAACAGTTGGATAGCTATTCCCTACTTTATTGGTTAGGATTTTTAATTGCATAATGCAAACTGTTGATTTTCAAAATAAATAAAAAAACGTTCATGCCCCGCATTCCAATGCTGGAGCAGAAAAGCTTGAAATACCTACCAAAACACTTGAATAAAGACATACTGTCAGTATGGAAATGCTCTGTGCAGGTGTTAATCAAGTTAAATCCCAACAGCCAATCAGCAAGAAATGCTCTGTGCAGGTGGAAATGCTCTGTGCAGGTGTTAATCAAGTTAAATCCCAACAGCCAATCAGCAAGAAGTATAGAGGAAAGCTGCATGCCTATTGGTTGATGCCCTGCATTCCATTGTGATGACTCATGCCCAGACGTGGTAAACACGGCACTGGGCACACTAACACAGTAATACATTTGCTATAACACAGCCAAAAAACTCAAATAAAACCATTCTAAAAGCCTGTATCACAAAAATTTAAAAAACGCCTAGGGGTATTTGCCCACTGTACCTCCATACCAAATTTCAGGACCTTAGGCCCTAAAATGAAGAAGCTGAATCCATTTAAAAAATGGCAGGAGAAGAAGAAGAAGAAGAAGGAGGAGGAGAAGGAGGAGAAGAAACATCAGAAAAAGCAATATGGGTTCACCACCACTTCGTGGTGTGGTGAACCCATAATGATAAATTTTCTATGGAGAAGGATCTATAAAGTCTGAAATTAAAAAGAGTGATAGATTAAACTTAAAAGAATTCCAGTAATGCTACAGATTTACAAAGGTATATATGATGTAAAAAAGACATTAATGGTTTGAGAAGGTTGTAGTGTGGAGGCTTGTGTATTTGCAGAAAGTATTTTCAAATTGCAGAACAAAATTTTGACTCTTCTGCAATATTGCAGAGCACTGAAAAAAAGTATTTCGACCACTGCATATAGATTATACAATTTTATAGAATGTTATTTTAAAAAGAATGTCAAAACAAACCCAACTTCATGCTCAAAGTATAGAATCTAAAATTCAGTATATTTATGGTGGTTGCCTGCTCTCATAGAATGAGCTGAGGTCTGTAATCTTTTCATGGGTTACCCATTATGTTGTTCAGATACATGTAATGACACAGAAGAGAATATTCCAGAAGCTCAGGGGAATTGTGCCTCACATGGATATCAAAGTATGTATGACAAACTGTATATCATAAACTTGGATGATACAAACCATCTCTCCATAAAATATTTCTACAAAAGTAAATAAGAAACTGATAAACATGCAGACCATCACCCGTGTACCACCCATCCTGATTCCCATTTTCCGACTGACGTCATAGGCAGCGTGTTACCATGGCAACTAACCTCATGAATCCATCACTCTGTCCTATATGCTTTACATAAGAGGGGTTCCAACCATTAGTGTATTAGACTCAGGCTAATGATGTAAGGTCAGTAAAGTCTCATTACTGTAGTGTAGGGTCACTATTAGACACAGGATGTCTTGTGAAGCCATTGCTTCATCTTAGGAATTCTAAACTGTCATCACTATACAGTACTATTAAATAGTACTGTATAGTGATGACAGTTCAATAATAGGAAGAGTATCTTGTTCCAGATGAAATAAAAATGACAGAGGAAAAGAGTAAGACAATTTTGTCAGAACTGTCTCTATTCTGGACTTGAATATATGGTATAGAGACTGTATTCTTTAATGACGACAGCTCTTATGATTGAAACACAAGATTCACACAGCCATCGTAGTTCATACAATACTAGCAATTTTTTGCATTCATTAAAAAAGTGACAAGATGACAATGTGTCATTGATGTGTCATATCAAGGTCGCCCTTTTGCTTAAGTCCAGCCTGATAATGAAAATGTTGTTTTTGTCTCACTGATGTGTCCCAGAAGACCACTACCAGCTGAGACCCAGCTGAAATGGGCGTGCTGCATATACCTGATTAAATTATAAAAGCCCACCACAGGAATACAGAAAATAATGGACTCTGATTTTGGTAACATGTCTAAAATTACTTTTAATTGGGTAAACTGATCAAATGATATAAAAAATATTATTACTTAAACATTCAGTTTTGAGAATTTTAACTATATTTTTGCTGTGTCCTGCGCATTCACTCAACCCCTACCTGTATCATCAGTGAACTGTCCCCAATTGCATGTAATGTTAGAGGCTTGGAACTGCTACTTTTACTGCATTCTTGAACAGTTTGAAAATCAAAAGTCTAAAAAACAGGTTATTTCAATTGACTTATATGAATGAAAATTAATATGCACCTACAAAAATATTATATTTTGCAGCTGATATAGCGATAACTACTATTCCATGTTCGGTAAATTTGCAACTGCACGCCCAGTTAGGCATTGTGGGTGGGGAAACTCTTACTATAGAGGTCATGTAGGGGGATTTAATAATACTAATGGCCACGTCAATGACAACAAAGTCAGAAAAGGTCACAAGGATCAGATGGGGAACAAACCGATCCTGGAAATAATGAACACAATCACGTGGTCTTAGATGAAAAACAGGTGGCAGGTTACTGCCCTTCCGCTAGTTCATGCCCCCTCAGCTCATACCCGCTGTGACTCACCCCCACCCTCCGCCCCACCTTATCTTATGTTTAGTACTTTCTGGAAAAGAATCAGACTGGCAGCCTCATGCAATCAGCAAACAAAACATTTTGACGTTAATTGCAAACAAAGGTCCCCAAGGAGTAAGACAGAATATTGAAATTATAGAGATGACTGGTCATCCAACGATGACTCATTTCACACTGATCAGGAAGACTATAACGTCCTTGGACTGATCAAAGACAGCTGGTTAACTGTCGCAAGCAGAATCCTACTGGCACTTCTAGTTTTCATAGTATACAGACGTACAGTTTTGAACCTAGCTTTGATCATTGATCATAATGCAATTTTGCAACAAACGTACTTGGGGTATAACGATGGCTTGATCTCGATGTCCAGCCGATACTGGACGTCTGCCTGTAGCTTGATGGTCCTCTCACTCGTCTTAAACCTGCCGCCGTCGATTTTGAAGAACACAGGCGACCCGTCGTCCTCCCGACGGATAGAGACGGTCACCTTGAATATGAAATCAGCACTGCCCATGTCCTTGTCTCGTAACGTTACTCCTCGGAGCCTCTGGAATATGTCTCGGTCATCTGCCGCCCAACGTCGCGCTTGGAATGTTCAAACCAGCCGTACCGCCTATCTCCATATCACATG